TAGATATAGATTATGAGATTAATATAAAAGCTATCTAGCACGAATCTGCTCTGAACTCAGTAATTCCATGAAAGGTTGTACAATATGGTCGGCCGCTCCGTACCACATTGCATTTGTTTTATCTCCAAAGCATGGACAGTGTGACCAGGTAGATAAACTAAATCGTAAAAGCACGGCCGAACCCTGCCTGTCTGCCTGCCTGTCTGTGCATTGGGCGTAGCACAAGCATGGATCGGGAATATTAATCTGCGGTGTGAAACGGTTGATTTTCTCCCCTGTCCCATCCTGGTCAAAAGTTTCTTGTGCGTCTACCATACCTCCCCTTCCTCTTGTCCGACTTAAGTACAGTACAGTTCAGACTTTAGAGTAACATCCGCCCGGTCAGCTGCGTTCCACGTGGGGAAGGGCAAGATCGTGGTACAAAGCAAGGGACTGCAATGGAAAGCTTTGACACGATGTCAGTTGAGTTTATAATGGATGATATAAGTTACATTTATTAGTGGAAGCGGTGAAACTCCATTTCAAGGCGACATTGCACTTAAAACGCTCGTTTAAAGAGAGCTAGGAGAGGAGGTTAGTGGTATCGTTGAGAAGCCAGTTCATAGGATGGTGTACTATGGCATTGGGTAACATCTCCTCGAAAGCAGGCTTAGTCTACACATTAGACAGTCTAGGCCAATTTGGCTTGATTAACCTGCAATCAACCCGAGAAATAATAATAATAATAGCCTTGTTATCATCAACCTAGGCATCGTGCATAGTTTATTGTCATGTGTCTGCATGTAGATATTTGGCACAACTAAACCATCCCTCAGCCTCTTATCGCGGATGAGTCCCGAGCCATCGCCATCCAATTGCGGATAGACCATGGATCAAGTGTTCCTCCAACGCAAGTAGAAGAGAAGAACCAGGACTATTTAAAGGGAGCATACCTAGGGAGCCAGTCACGTCATGATCCAATGTCGAGTTCTCATCTCATCCTCGGTCGGTGGTTGGGTGGTTCCGTTTCAGCGCCATCACCTGCGTGCCATCGTCTATTCGTCTTGGCCGCGCCCATCTTGGCCTGTACTGTTAGCCTTGAACTTATCTGACTCTCTCTCCACAAGTCTATCTAAGCGAGTTCCCTGCCATTTGCCTTATCAGGAGGCTATCACACGAGCTTCTTAGCTAATGGCCAGTAACCACTCAGCAGGGGCCAAGTCTTCCCCTCCCAATCCCCAGTGTTATCTTCGGGTCTTGGTTATCTCTGGCCCTTAGAGGTAGATAGTAGTATTTGCTAACTGGATTGAGTCTGGGTTCTCTCAATTTCCGTTGAGAGGTTTTCTAGTACCATAGCGATGAGGCACGAGGGACTGACTGGACTGTTTAATCTCCACCTGCGCTCATCGCGCTACTTTACCTTGAGATTCGTGGCGTGGCTTATTTAATATTCATTCTCGACTCTTTGTCGGATTGGTAGCTTTCCAAGATCTCTTCCTTGCTACCTAGGTAGGTACCTAGTTATATATCAACGGGATCGACGCTTTGAAAACGGCGGTGAATCCGAAGCTTCCTCTCGAGCTCTCTCGTCATCTTTGTTCCCTTTTGTTCTCCTTCTTGTATCAACAATAGCTGGGGACCTTTGTACGCTACAACTATTACTATCATATTTATTGCTCCAAGGACCCTTGATTCTGGGGTACATTTCCACCGTCGTTTCATCTCCATCTATCAATCCCCACCCTTGCTCGACCCTTAGGTATCATCGCGTGAAATTCTCCGTCTTCTCCCCTCCGATCTCTTAGTTTGCCTCCCCCACACTGTTTCCCCAGAGTTAGTGCACGTGCGCATTATTGACTGTGGTCCTCGATGGTACTCAAACTGAACGATGTAAATCAATTGGAGCTATCCGATTCACACTGCACATTCCTCGGACATCTTAGCATCGATTGAACACCATAAGAAACGCCTTTGCCGTCTGTTGATCCCTGGCCCCTCTTCGGAGGTGGCTCAGCGGCCATGGATTTATACCAATCGATGCTGAACACACGAGGGCTCTATTCGGAGACGCCCCCGGACATTCGGACACGGTTGGATGATCACCCTACACTCCTGGTGAGCTGGTGGGCGACCGGATTCTCCCTGGCCTTCATTATAACCCGTGTCTGTGGTCGCTATATACGGACTGAGCGATTCTTCCCAGAGGACAAGATGATGATGGCCAGCATCATTCCGTTGTTGATACGGATGGCACTGGTGCATGTGGTACTGCTCTACGGCACGAACAATACCAAGACGGCAGGCCTGACCGAGGAGGATATACGCCAGAGAGAAATTGGCAGCAGGCTGGTCCTTGCCGCCCGAATATTCTATGCTATTTTGTAATATGCCTTGCCCCCGAATTTTGATTCCGTTCTTGTCCTTGCAGGTATACTGATGATTTGCTTCTGCGAACAGCATTTGGATTGCCAAATTCACCGTGTGCGAATTTCTGAAACGAGTTGCCGGGATGATGTGGCAGCGGTCGCTCCGAGTATTTCTCCAGATCATCTACTACTTCCTGGCATCGACGTTAATCGCAGTGCTGATTGCGACTCTCGTTGAATGCCAGCCTTTCGACCACTACTGGCAGGTCGTTCCGGATCCAGGGCCGCAATGTCGCTTGGGCTATGCCAACCTGATCACGATGGGGGCATGCGACATCGTCACCGACCTGCTTCTAGTCGCCTATCCCATTCCGATTGTCTTAATGACGCATATGCCCATGAAGCGCAAGGTGATCCTCGCAGTGCTTTTCGCCTTGTCTCTGATATTGGTTGGGATCACCTGCTATCGCGTTCCATCTGTGATTTGGCATCACGGGTCACAGCAATACCGATCGCTTCTCGCGTCGCTAGAGATTCTAGCCGCGACCGCTGTCTCCAATGCGGTCGTCATCGGCTCATTCGTCAGAGATAAGGGCGTCAAGAAGGCGAAGTTCAAGAAGGCTGTTGGCTCGGCCTCGGTGAGCGAGAGTATGGATCACAGCTCGACGCGACGTGCCACCATTACCTACCACCAATGGGGCAGCGACTCGGATCTTGCGGGAGATCTGGGTATGCGACTGGCTCCTGACCTTCACTCCTCAGACAACAAAGTTCCACGTCCAGCTCCAGTGGCCGTACCATACCATCCCATCACAGCGCAAACGGGGACGCTGACCCCGAATTGGTCGTTTGGCAACCAGCGTCACTCGATGGGAACAGATGACGACATAACGTCTACGACCGGTAGCTTAGAGCTGAAGATCAGCCCTCATGAGTATATTGAGACCAATAAAACCCTTCACAAAAAGTCCAACGATGTCGTCCTCTCCTCCCCTAGCAAAGTCTCCATCTTCGATGTCGGCGGGCTACTGGACGACTCCCCAACGCCAGGGTCTCAGAACTCTTCTGCCGAATCGACGCGTCATCGCGAGCTGAGCTTCGGCTCGCAACGATATCGCAATGGTAGCAGAGCTTTCCTGCAGGACGTCGGGGGCTTGCTCCCATCGAACACGAGAAATGGCCGCCCACGGGGCTCAAGTGTCCACTTTAGCGACACTGTAGATCCCCCCGTGCCTCCGTATCACTCCCAGCGGGATATACACGCGCCCATTCTGGAGACATCCGATGATGTCGAGCTCCAGGACGTCGGCGGGCTTCTCTCGAAAGACACATGAGTCTTTTGACATCTGATTACGACCGAATCTACTGTATGATAGTATCATGACCTACTTTCTTTTTTGTTTACCTCCCTTGGGCTTTCACCTGGATCCACGGTTATGGGCCTAGGGATTTTACCTCAGTTATGTGCTTTAGCGACGGCGTTGGTGTACTGCAGTGCCCCGGCACTGGTTACATATTCCATTTGGATTGTTCGAAAGTTGGATGGGCTTTGGATCTCTATATTATCCCCAATTAGGGTAATATTTATTGAACATACTGAGAGTTGATCTGGGGCAACCAGGATACTCAGATATTCATAATCTCCCAGAGACGGGTCGGCCTTATCATGTTTATATATATCACCAATTATCCCACCAAGAAATAGAAGCTAACCATGAGCACACATCACGTAAAATCTATTCTTCGTAACAACTTTTAAAAAGATTTATAGCTTTGAAGTCGCAAGGGCCACCAAGATCAGATTATTCCCCATGTGAGAATTAAATGGCTCAAATAGATACCTTAGCTGGTACCAATGATGCACTCACTATCACTCACACCTCACTCGCCCGGTAAACTGGTTTGCAGTGTCCTGCCTATCATGCTCCAGAGAAATAGAAGCTATAGCTACTTTTAAGTCTATATACCGATATCTGGCCTTCGGGTACACGTGGTTACATCAGGTCGATTATCCTAGTAGCCATAACGAAAGCGACGAGCCCAAGCTAAGATTTCGTAGTTTGTCTGCTCGGTCTGTCAAGTAGTGTCTGCGTAGAAAATCAGAAACCACGCTCATCGCCTCGTTGTGACCACAGCGGTATTTCGAGACATGCAATATGCTGTCTTGGATAGCTTCATCAATGCCGGGTCCGGCAATTCACGGCATATTCGCTATTGCGTTTTTTCACCTGTATATGAGATTGTTATTTATTTACTGTCTCCATGTTCTCTATCTAGATAGCAGGCTTGAAGGGCATGATATGCCCTTGTCATCCGAGTGAAACGAGACTCGATCGAACAATCTAGGTAATAGTTTCAACTCCACTGGCACATATGCTCTCTTTGCATTATTATCTTTTCTGTATCCCACAGGCTTTACCGTTACCAGACGGCTCGTACTGTTAGCAAATCCGACCAAACACATCTACCTGATTACGATGTTGACTTGAGGCAGCTGTAGAGGCTTACCAGGAAGACCGACATTCACTGCCCGCGTGTGTAGTAGCCAAGTCGATAGAGAAAACTTTTCAACACATTAGACGAAAACATCGGCTCATCGGAGTGAAAAATGCACGTCGTCAGCTTTCTTACATAGGCCCTGATTTCATCTGCATAATGGCACCTCACCTGCAAAGTGAGAGCAGTGCAGGTCTGATTCCGAGTCTTAGCCCGGTGGCTAGTGCAGCTCTTCAAGCCTTCCAGAGAGAACATACAGATGAATTTCGACACCACAACTGTCTTCTGCTCCGACTCATACCCTTTCTCACGGATGAGTTCGACATCGACATCGACCCCGACTCTCTACCTGACTGTGAAGAAAATGAAAGCGTGAATGAGGAGACTGTCCGACACTCAATAGTGGTCAGGCTGTTAAACGAGTTCTGGGATGTGCACTGCGACATTGATCCTAACACAGAGAAAGTCAGTGACATTGTGGACTACCAGTTTCTCGTGAAGCTCTTCTACTGGCATCTGAACAGGCAAACGAGACTTCCGTCGAACCTTACCAGACCGGAGGGTGTTGAGACCCGTGCAGAAAGAGCTGAACAACGCCGCAGACTATTCGATATGAGCCTCCGCTCCCTGTTAAAAAGACAGAGAGAAACAATACAGCAGCAAACTTCAAAGAAGAATCACAACGCCAAGACCAAAGGTAGCAGTCTGGTAAAGAAAGTGGCGGGCGTAAGACATGGAGATTTACACGATGTAGATCAAGACGAACCAGCGAACCAACCGCTCTCTCCAGAATTCGAGAGCATGCAGAATAATATAGAGACAGTGGTCTCGGAACCCATGGGCATCTCGATCGTCCTCAGCAACCTTGGTTCTATTGACCGACTGAGCATCTTGGACACGATTATAGACAAGGTGATGAGTAAATACGAAGGCCGCTATGGTATGTTCTTGAAGTCTGATTCCGGAAGGAGCCTAAAGGCTGTCCTCGAAGGAAATCTCAATCAGAAAGTCAAATCACTCTGCGAGGCTGGGACGTTTGAATTGGACAGGTTGGTGCCCTGCCCTCATTGTTGAGTAATACTGAGCAGAACTTTCCCAGGTTGCTCCAAATTGGTAATATGGGAGAGCAGCCAAACGAGTCGGGTGTTTATATGCACATTCTTTACAGAAGAAGCAATCCAGGGCGTTTCTGGCTGTACGTGGGTCAGGCATTCAAACTGCACGAGAGGATATCCAGTCACAACGATCCTGCGCATAGACAGGCTCAGCCCAGTTTGCACTACCATGTCTGGGAGTCTGCCGAAGACATGGTGTCCGAATTTGTCACGCTTGCAGTGCACAAGATCACCTCGTCCCGAGATGACCAATTCATCCTCAACTTCCAGGAAATGTGGATGGCTTGCGTATTTCAAACAATGACAGCAAAACACTTGGAAGAATACCTTCCTGAAAGTATCAACAAGGCATGGTCTGGCAGGCATCTGAATGTCGCGCCTCCAATATGGCAAGGATTTGGAGATTTGGCTGCCTGGAAAGAAGCCATTGGAGGAACAGAGGCTTTCAAAGATTTTCTCAACTCTCCTGATTCCGCCATCAGAGGCTGGGCGTGGGATCTTCGACATGCCTTTAATGATCTCCGGAACTCGCCAGATCCAATCCATCGAGCCTACTACTTTGATGTTATGCTTCGAAACCGCAAATTGGCAGAAGAGGTTTGCGAGAAGAGAAAAATAGAGAACTTGCAGCGAATATTGTCTCAAGGAATGACGAGAACCATCTTTGGTGGAGACGATACGCAGAAGGCTCATCTCATCAGCTGCAGTGGCTTTGCATTTACTATCTCCAGACAATTGCGGTTGGGAGTGCGAGTCGGGGACCTAGTGAGGCTACGGTTTCATCTCACAGCAACACCGAATCCCCAGAAGTATGCAACTAAAGCTTCACAGACTGATCCGGCCAGTAGATTGGCAGTGTCAATCGAGGGGGGAGGAACTCACGGTGATTACCATGTCTGGCTCAGAAACCCCGGTGACAAAGTCGTCAGTAGGATGAACGCATTGGTCGATGCTTTGGAAGGGGTGCCTTTGACGGAATCCAAGGAAATGGCTCGACGGTGGTATGTAACAAGACGACAGGGGACGTCCAAGAAGGATGTTATATACACAGTCAGCGACGATGAATCGTAGCACTTATCCGATATTGGATTCCTTGCACTAAAAGTATTCAAAGGGCGATCTTGATGTTGCAGAACTTTGCTAAGCAGTTAGCGTCCATATATTCTTTTGGGTTATGGTTTAAATTAAGGGCTCTCCGAAGCAACCTAGCAACCCCCGATGGTCTAGTTGGATATGGCGGTCGGCTGTAATAGAAATTGTAACCGACAGGTCGCCGGCTCGATTCCGGCTCGGGGGAGTAAAGGTTACTCTTTTTCTTTTTTTCCCCTCTCTTATCGATTCCATTTCTCTCTTTTATATTTTATTGCCTCTCGTCTCGCTACACAGTGGCTTCTTCCATCTAGCTGGCCATGTATCAAGACCATCATGAGAAGGAGCAGGCCCATTGACGGGATCCCATCAACAACATGCTTGCAGAATCTCAGAGTTGTGCGAAATACTACTCTGAAATGGACAACTGTCCTGACGTGTAGGGCTCAATCTACAGAAATCGCCTTATAACCCGAAGAACTGCTTGCCCACTAATACTACGGACTGCTATTATCTTACTCTTCCCATTCTTCACATTTGGAGAGCTCAACCAAGCCAGTTCCGAGAAGACTGTCTATCTTCTGGACGGCTCAAACCCCGAACTCGGCTACAGGCTCAAAGAACAGTCCATCTCATATCTGAACCTTAGTGAATACTGACGACCCATCCATCATCCTTCAACCCCCGATGGTCTAGTTGGATATGGCGGTCGGCTGTAATGGAATAATTGTAACCGACAGGTCGCCGGCTCGATTCCGGCTCGGGGGATCAGGATATCTTTTTGCTTGTTTAATTTTAGATTGTTATTTCTGCGCTTTTGTAAGAGGCCGAGCTACGGAGTACTCAAGGTTAAATAAGGTAGTCCTCGTTAAGCACGTAGGTGTAGTAGCCAATGTGGTGGGGTTGCGGCAGAGCTAACTGTTTTGTTCATCAGGTCAAGCCTCTTTGGCTGGCGGAAGTTGGAACACGTGCATAAGTTGCTACCTTACCTTTCCTAGCCCCGTTTAAGCTACTGGCATTTGTAGACTGATGTCAGGGCCCGGTTGCTCTACCTACTGAAAGTTGAAGCGTTCGCTCAGCGATATGCTCGTAGTGGAGAAAGAGGAGTTTTGGTGATTGAGCCTAGGTGGTTTATGAGAGCAAAATGAGCTAACGTTAGCATCTCCGAAACCCCCGATGGTCTAGTTGGATATGGCGGTCGGCTGTAATGGAATAATTGTAACCGACAGGTCGCCGGCTCGATTCCGGCTCGGGGGAATTAGAGACATTCTTTTTTGCCGTTTGCTTTCCCTTTTCGACTGTTTAGATCCATTCTTCAATTGAGTATGTTTTCTGTTCTCTGAGAATAGCTTCGTTCCGCTGCAACAGTTGAATGATATGCAGGGTGCACGCTAGTTGATACAACGGTGTCTTGTATCATATTGTCTGGCCCCTTGCGTCCCCACGTGTCGGAGGCATCAAAGTCGTCCAACAGGACCAGCGCCGTTTATAGCTTCTCAATCCTCGTAATTGGCTTGATCTATCCTTCATTTCTAGGATTGGTCGACGAAAGTTGGTTAGGTAGATGGGCATAAGGATAGGACGGAGAACGATAATAACGGTCATGTCTATGGACCGCAAAAATTATGCTGTCGACCATAGGTACACCTCGCCCCATATGAAAGGCAACTCGCCACCGCTGGATGGACAAGAATAATGTAGAAGAGCATCCATCTAACTGAGTGGTGCTTCCCTCTGTCGAAATAGGATATTTGAAATGAGCAAAAAAGATATCTCATGTATCCCCCGAGCCGGAATCGAGCCGGCGACCTGTCGGTTACAATTATTCCATTACAGCCGACCGCCATATCCAACTAGACCATCGGGGGTTTAGGAGACATCCGCCTCGGAAAAGTCTGAACCCACAAAGCTAGACAATTGAACGGAAATAAATCACTTTCGCAGCACACGCCTGTCGACGATTGAGCTCTTGTACTCGGTAATACCTTTTTGTTGGAAACTTTGCAAGACATCGTTGTATCTACTAGCCAGGTCAAATAGCTGATTATTGGACGGTATAGTTGCTCATCTCCAGAGTGAACATCATTAGAGCAATAAGATCCTCGCTGGGTTGTTGCAATCGGGCACTGATCCGTAGCAATGGATTTGACGTCCTTGTACTTGTCACATATCGTCGAGCAGCTAGAAATGATAACTGCTCATGCTACTTGATAGAGTATGAAAAAGCACACAATAATTAATTATGATTGGTTTTATTGGATGAATACGTCAAAGCAAAGAAAAGACAAAAAGATAACGTCCCCCGAGCCGGAATCGAGCCGGCGACCTGTCGGTTACAATTATCCATTACAGCCGACCGCCATATCCAACTAGACCATCGGGGGTTTCGTTAGTGCTTTTGGGAAATGTATTCTATATATCATAAACCGCCCAAGAAAATACTTCTAGGGCATGTTTCCCAGTCCCTTGCTCCAACTGTCGTCTTGACGTTCACGATCCACCTATGCAATGTACCTTTCTACCTTACCAGGAATGCCATTGTCATGCAGGATATGGCTCTTTTCATGTATGAAATGTAGGAAGCAGGACATTATTATTATTGATATTGTGCTGACAAGTGACAGCTTGATCACGTGCACTCGTATACGGGGTAGCGCGTCCTTTAACCCAAACAAGCCTGTAAACAGAGCCAGTCCCTTGACAACCACCACTTGCGACCGACAGCAACCAAATCGACGGACTTGAATAACTCATGTGCCATATAGCTTCAAGTTGACGGTGGCGTTCTTTTTTAATGTGATCTCCCTTTTGGTATAATGATTAAGGAAATGGAGACTTTCGCCGCCCGTCTCGCCAGCTTCGATCTGGTTCTCCATCCCGACCGACGACGGACATCGAGCGCAAAGTCCGTCAAGCCGATATCTTGGCCTCATAGTAGGCCGTCACCTGCAGAGGTATATCACTCTCTAATATCTGTATCTCTATTGATGCAATGGCTGACTCCTAGCTAAAGCTAGCGCATGCAGGATTCTACTACAACCCCTACGAGACCAACCCCGATAATACGACATGTTACTTATGCCAGCGCGCGCTCGACGGGTGGGAATCGGAGGATAACCCGATCACTGAGCATCTTAAACACTCAAAGGATTGCGGATGGGCTATTATGATGGACATCGAGCAACACAGCTCAAATCCCGCTGAGATTGAAGACCCAACAAGCGACAGGATAACGCAGGCAAGACAAGCCACTTTTGGCGATCAATGGCCACACGATGGCAAGCGCGGGTGGGTTTGCCAATCTGAAAAGGTAGTGTTTGATGTGTTCTCAATTCGAAAGCGCGATTTACCTGCCACTTGAATTTGCAACCTAATATTTTGTCCATGGCAGATGGTGGAAGGTGGATGGTACTTTTGCCCGACTGAGGAGAGCAATGACCTAGCCAGTTGTGCTTACTGTAAACTGTCTCTCGACGGATGGGAACCCAAAGATGACCCTTTGTCAGTGCCTCATCGTTCCTTCCCACTTGATATTCACTGACTTGCCTAGTGAGGAGCACTATCGGCGCTCAGCCGATTGTTCATTCTTTGTCTTTGCACAGCCTCCTGGCAAGAAGTCCAAATCTTCTCGATCAAAAAAGTCGCGCGTTTCAAAAGCGTCGTCTCGTCTCTCGACTCAGTCTACAGTGTCGGAAGCGCCAATGACCGGGCTTGACAGCCAAATGGATGAGGATGATATTCCTCAGCCGCCAACCAAGACGAAAGCCTCAAAGAAGTCGTCGAAATCAAAATCGAAGACCTCGAAATCTAAGAAGGATGACACCTTGGAGCCCGATAACCAGATGGACTTAGACACTGTGGAATATGCCCAGCCTGAACCCGCCAAGCCCAAGCGGACCAGAGGCAAGAAAAGGTCCAGTGAGGAAATGGACCCAGAAGAGTCTAACATAGCTATTGCCGAGGAGATTCATCAATCCGAACCTCCAACCAAGAAGAGAGCGACAAAGTCGCGCAACAGTGCTACTCAGCAAGAAGACCGCACTCGCAATGACATTGCTATCGTAGATATGCATGAGCCGGACGACGAGGCCTGGCTCGAAGCTGAAGCTAAGAAGGGGCGTGCGGCTACCAAGAAGAAGACGTCATCCAGAGGTCGGAATGTTTCAGAAGATTCATTGGTAGAGACGGCAGCTCCGCAAGGTCGCTTACCGCGAGATTCCGAGATTGATGCAGCAATTGAGGCCGAACTTGAAGTCGGCGAGCCTATGGTTGAAGAGCCTCCGGCGGAAACACACAAGTCTTCGAAGAAATCGAAGTCCAAAAAGAAAACAAAGAAGGCGGCAGAAGAGCCACCCAAGGTGCAGCATGACACGGTCGAGCGAAACGAAGAGCAAGAATTGCGTCAAGTCGACGACGATGAATTTATTTACAGGCGGACAAGTGACGTTCAGTTGCCAGCCGAGCAGCCGAAACCAAAACCAGCTAAATCCTCTACCAAGCAGAGAACTTCAAAAGAAGCAAGTCTTTCAGAAAAGAAAAGACCCAAGTCACCCAAGAGTCGCCTAGCAACAAAAGTTGACGCTGCAGATGTTGACGCTGAAGCTGATCGCAGGCACCAAGGGTCTTTTGTGTCGGTGGAGGTAACAGCAAGGAAACCAGAGCAAGACTTCGAACCCGAAAGGAGAGATAGTGGCTCTCAAACGAAGAAGGCGAGCAAAATGTCCTCGACCAGCAAAGCGAAGAAAACTAGTCACACAAGGGCCGTGTCTCCAGAGTCTCTGGAGCCCTCAGAGGCTGCAACTCCTGCTTCCGAAAGGCCTGAAACAAGGCATAGCTTGAAGTCAGAGGCACCTTTGCAATTCGAACAAAGAAAAATTTCTCGCCACAGTCAAGACGTCCAAGAGCAAGAGCTGGAGCCAGAATCGGAGCCAGAGCTAGAGCAGGACCCTGAGGACGAGATAGAGCAAGACAGGGAGGTAGAA